TTTTTTTTTTTTTTTTTTTCTTTGGCGGAACTGGGGATTGAATTTAGGCCCTTGTGCTTGCCAGGCAAGCGCTTATTCCACCGAGCCATCTCAATATATGGCTTTTATACTGGCCCTAAATATATACCTTTTATACTTCTGAAATATTATCTTTTCTGTGAACGTTGTAGCTCATTACAAGGTGAATTTTTTCCCTAGTTGTCTATTTTAAATTTAATGTTGTCATTCTTTACATACATACATACATACATACTTTAATCTCAAGATTTAGCTCATTGCATTGTTACAATTAAAACGAGAAGGGGTGGAAGTAATGTCCTGGTTAATTGGGTTTAGTGAACAAAAACTACTATTTAGAAGTACACAAGCACACTTGTACATGCATCTACTTTCATGCACATGTCGATGAATTTCATCATCCTATCTCTTTTCACCAGCCATTTTATTTGTAAAATCTGTTTTTGCCATGGCTTCTGTCCTTTGGCCTTCCACTGTCTTGTACACCGAATGCCCTTCCTAAGACTGGGCATCTCATGAAGCATATCTGCAGTACTACTGACTCATCTTTAAACTAAGGAGTAACCAAAATTCCTAACCTGTTACAGTTGTCTTGAATTCGCGTCTTATTATTATCAGTTATTTTAGCTTTTCTAGTCTTTTTTTTTTTTTTTTTTTTGATGGAAGCCATTGAAAACATAGAGTGGGGGAGTTTTGTCTTCTTGCTGTCATCTGTAAGTGTAGTGTTCTATTCTCTAAGCAGTGAAGTTTAGGGGTTTTTTACTGGTATTTATTTTTTCTTTCTGTTTTATATGAACTTTGCTTGATAGCTTATGAGCATCATCATTTTCAGGAAAATGTTTCCATAGTTTTTACATGACTTTGATTTTGTAACCTTTTAATTTCTTAAATTTTAATTTGCTAAATCACTCCTTTTTTGTGTCAGCTTGTTTGGTTTCTTTAGATGTCTCCCTTTAATTAAAATTACTTGACATACGTATATCAAAATTTTATTTCCTGACCAACTTAAGTTTTACTCTGTTTTGTTCTCTCTGGTTATATTTTCTTTTATACATTTTTTTTTTTAATGTATGTGGTACAAGGTTTCACTATGAAGCTCAGATTCATAGTGATCCTCCTATTTTTAGGTGCCCAGCACTGGGATTACAGGTGTGCACCACCACATCAGGACTAGGTGGCTGGTTCATTGTGCCTGAGGATGGGGCAGTGGGGCGTGGTGCCTGGGACAACATTTAGAATTTTTTTAAAATACAGTGACATTGGAAAATGAATGTATCTTTTGTGTGTTGCATTCTTTATTTTCTGGGGCTTCTAAATTGCCAGAAGAGTATATCTGATGTAATGAAGTCATGGTACAAAATCTTTTTCCTTTTTAGATGGACACTTTTGTAAATCCACTTCGAAATTCTATGAGGAATGTTTCAAATGCAGTTAAATCCCTTCCTGATAGCTTGGCAGAAGGAATGACTAAAATGTCAGACAACATGGGCAAAATGTCAGAAAGATTAGGTCAAGACATAAAGCAATCATTTTTCAAGGTAAGACTTTTTTAATAATATCTAAAGCAAATTGTTTTCAATCAACTAAGGTGCACTGAGCTCTTGTCTAAATTTACCTTATTTCCTTTCCGAAGTCCATCATATACCATCTTATAAGGAATGTAAACTAACAAGAATAAATTGTTATCACAAAAACATCTAAAAAATTCTGTCACTGGTTACTCTGCTATGGTAGAGTTGAAAAATCTATTTAAAAGAAGTACTTAAAATTGATAATTTTTATGCTGTTTCATAATATGCCTTTTATTATATGATACCCTAACTTCCTTAGCATATAAGTAAATGTTATGTGCAAGTATCTTATGTTAGTATTCATGCAGGAAACGTAAGGTCTTAATTTTTTCTGTGACTCGTATGAAAGAGATACTTCAGAACAATTCTTTCACTATTGCAATCTTCGGGTTCACACATTATCACTTAATCTTTGATGTGATATTTATTTATTCTTGGCAGAACTGGGGATTGAACACAGGCCCTTGTGCTTGCCAGGGAAGCACTTATTCTACTGAGCCATCTCCCTGGCCCTTGATGTGATTTTTAAAGTTTGTAATCAAACCTATTTTAAAAATTCCATGAAGACTTTTGAATATTTTTGTTTGAATGAAGGGCAAATGTATGTAAACACAGATTTTGCTTAATATAAAAGACAATTTTTTGGGTTTCTGGTCCGAGGTCCCTGGGAGCGTCATAGCAAGCACAGCTGTACCTTCCCCCTCTGCCCAGGCTTCGGACCAGCTTCGGCACTTGGCGGCGGAGCTGCGGCTGCTAGGGGCCCAGGTGCAGGTCGGCGAGGCCCGGGAGACTTCTGAGGAGTTCGATCGGGAAAGGTTTTGGAGAAGATTCACTCTGAGAACAATGACCTTATTTCCTACAACAGTGTCTGGGTTACGTGCCAGCAAGTGCCTCAGATACCAAGAGATAACAAAGCTGCAGCTCTTTTAATGCTGACAAAGAGTGTGGATTTGTGAAAGATGCACGTGAAGAAATGGAGCAGGCTGTAGAGGAGTGTGACCCTTACTCTGGACTCTTGAATGCTTCCGAGGAAGACAGCTCTGACAGCCACAATTGCGAGGGTGTGTTGGGGTTTCCCAGCAATCGGGACGTATATTGGTCTAAGGAAGATCAGGAGCTCAGAATCCCATGCCTGGCACTGGTGAGAGCATCTAAAGCCTGCCTGAAGAAAATCCGGATCCTAGTGGCAGAGAATGGCAAGAAGGATCAAGTAGCCCAGCTAGATGACATTGTGGACATTTCTGAGGAGATCAGCCCTAGTGTGGATGATTTGGCTCTAAGCATATATCCGCCCATGTGCCATTTGACCGGGCGAATCAATTCTGCGAAACTTGTATCTGTTTTAAGGAAGGCACTTGAAGTTACAAAAGCAAGTCATGTGACTCCTCAACCAGAAGATAGTTGGATCCCTTTACTGATTAATGCCATTGATGATTGTATGAACAAAATTAAGGAGCTAACGCAGGGCGAAATTGAACTGAGTTTTCAGCTTCATACAGATTCTCCTGGAGCTGGGGAGATGGCTCAGTAGAATAAGTGCTTCCTGCCTCCCTCACTGTTGCTTCCAGGCTCTGATTCTGCTTTAAAAAATGGATGTTGGGGCTGGGGAGATAGCTCAGTTGAATAAGTGCTTCCCTGGCAAGCGCAAGGGCCTAAGTTCAACCCCTGGCTCCACAAACAATAAATAAATAAATAAAAATAAAAATAAAAGTGGATATAGCAGCTGGGTGTGGTGATGCATGCCTGAAATTCCAGCACTTGGGAGGCTGAGACTGGAGGATCACTGTGAGTTCAAGGCCAGCCTGAACTTCATAGTGAAATACTGTCTCAAAAAGAGAAAAAAAATCAATTTTTTAAATGTATTTAGGACAGGGTCTATGGGGTCTATAGGGTCTCACTGTGTAGATCGGATTTGTAGTAATTATCCTGTTTTCAGCCTCCCAAGCACTGGAATTAAAGGCGTGCACCACCATGTCCAGTTTCAGTGCTGTCTCAGCGTGCCCAGGGGCGGGGCGGCATGCTGGGGATCAAACCCTCGCTCCTGTGCTCTGCCTAAGCAGGCTCTTTAGCCGCTAAAGAGCTATTTGGCCAGCCCAAAATTTCAATTTTTTAAAAAGGACATAGTTTACTTGCTAAGTGAAAAAGGAATTCTTATCTGTATTTAATAAGAGACTCTACTTCAGAGACTATTGATTAGGCTAGATTGGCATTTACTTATAAACCATATGAATGTGATATATTTTTCTGTGCTAGATATAAAATATAATTGCATGAGTTTGTGTTCCTGAATTCCCTCAGAGATTCCTAAGGAAGTTACCTTATTTCTTACTCTATTTCATATGATATTTTATTGTTAAAAATGTTAATTACCTCAATAAAATGCTAACCAGCTGCTAGCAAAAAAAAAAAAAAAAGAAAGACAATTTTTTAAATGGTGTATGTAAATCACACTATTGATATTGATCTCTGATGCTTCATTTTTATCTCTTGTGAGAAAACACACTAATAACTGAAGTAAATGGGAGTACCACTTCTGCTGACAGTTACTCGTAGGACTTTGTGCAAAAGCTATTGAATTTTTCCAAGCTTTCTTATCCTCATCAGTAATTTTCAAGATAGTTCTCCCTGTGTTGACTTAAGATTTTTAGCCAGTATTGGTCTTTCTGTTCTTTTTTCCCTTGAACTTACCTAATACTTGATTTAACACTGACTTTCAAGCACTCTTTGGGTGAAAAAATATTGAAATTCTTTTTCTTGCATAGGCTGCTATTCGATTTTCAAGTCACTTCGCCTTTCTTCATTTCAAAATCTACAAAGTGTAGGAGTTTGACTGATCTTCCCACTGAAACATATTTTTGATCAGTGTTTGATGAAATAAATATCCTTTTAAATTTGGTTTCAAGTTGTAGATTGTTACACTGTGCTTATATATTACACCAAAATTAAATCTAATGTTGATATTTGGTATATTAACATACTGTGTTCTTTGTCTGCTTTAGCGTGTTTACTTTTCTTTTCCATGTTAGGTGCCTCCTTTAATTACAAAGACTGATTCAGATCCTGAACATTGTCGAGTCTCAGCTCAACTTGATGATAATGTGAGTTAATCTTTTTCTTGATAATAAATTTAGTAGTTGTAATTCAAATCAAGCTTTCAGGTCTTTTAAATTTTTTAATATGTATGTGTATGACTCACATACATGTGTGTAAAGTTTGATAAGTTCTTAAAAACTGAGCGTGTCCATGTAGTCTATATTCTGATCAACACCTGAAAAACTCCCAGCACTCCTGAGCACCTTCTGCTGTAGTCTCATCACTGCTCTCCTTTATCACTACCAAATACTGTCTAACTTTGACTGTGCAGTAACACTTTATACCAGTAAAACTGTCTGTATTCCTCTGATTAAATCTGACTTTCTTTGCAATTACAGTTCTTCATTCTCATGACTTTATAGTATTCATTGTATAAATTGGCACTGTTTATTCATTGGATTATGTACAGAATTTGTGAACATTCTTGTGTATGCCTTATGATTAAAAAAGTATTCATTTCTCTTGGGCCTGTACCTGGGATGAAAGTGCTAGGTCAGAAATATGCACAAATTCAAAAGGCTGGTCAAATAGCTCAGTGGATTAAAGTGCCTGCTTAGGCATAGTGCAGCAGCCAGAGTTTGATCCCCAGTATGCCCTGCCAGTCTCGCCCCCAGAGTGCACTGAGACTGCAGTTGAGACTGTGCATGGTGGCATATGCCTGTAATCCCCATGCTTGGGAGGCTGAAAACAGGAGAATCACTACAAGTCCAATCTACATAGTGAGACCGTGTACACTCTGTAGACCCTGTCCTAAATACATTAGGAAAAAACAAACAAAACAGGAATGTGCACAAATTCAGTTTTAGCAGATACTGCCAAATCACTTAGAGTGGCACTAGCAGCACATCAGAGACTCCATGTTCTGCTTGTACTCATTGTTTGTAGTTTTTAAACTTTAGCTATTTTGATTGTTGTGTTCCATGTGGATTCACATTTCTCTTACAGTTACTGACATTTTTTTGAAATTTGAGCCTTTTTATGCTTATTGGCTAGTTGGGGTCCTATTTTGTGTTGTGTATAGGTCTTTTGCCCACTTTTACTGGCCTTGCTTGCCTTTTTAATTTGTAGGACCACTTTAAATAATACACATGAGTTGTCGGATACATATGGATTATCTTCCACTGTGTGTTGCTCCTATATACTCTATGTAATTTTTGCCTACTACAAGATCACAGAATGTTGTCCTGCAATTTTCTTTTAAAATCTTTTATGTTTTACTGTGCTAACATTTAGATTTGCAGTTTGCCTGCAGTTGACTTCTGTGTATGAGATGAGGTAGGGTTCAGGTTGAACCATGCACTATTCGCAGAAAAGGCCGCCTTTTCCCTGCTGTACTGCTTTCTTTCTTAACACAAATCATGTTATCGTACATCTTTCAATTTGTTTCTGGGCTCTGTGTTCATTTTCTCCTGTGTAGACTTATTTAAAGTTATAATTATCCTTTAGTTTCTGATCGAATTTATTTATAACAAACTGTTAAAAAAATTTTGCTTCTTCAATAATTTTTAGGCCGGGCCTGGTGGCGCGTGCCTGTAATCCCAGCACTAGGGAGGCTGAGGTAGGAGAGTCACTGCAAGTTTAAGTCTAGCCTGCGCTGCAAAGTGAGTTCAAGACCAGCCTGAACTGCATAGTGAAACTTTGTTTCAAAAAGACAAAAAAATTTTTAAAGACTGTTTTGAATTTGTCTTGTATATTGTCCATAACATCACACCTCTTGGAATGTGGCTTTTGCAGTTTAACTGTTCACTGGAATTGCCCTGTGATCATACTCAATAGAATTATGTTTTATCAGATAGTTGAACCTCTGTAGTTTCTCTCTCCCCTTTGGGTGTGTCCATTCTACAGCCTACAGGAAGCTTGCCCTCTTTATTTTTTTTTAATGTTGTCATAGTAAGTATAAAAACAAGTTTTGTTCCTTATAACATTACTATATTATATGTTTTATTTAACACCCAAGGGAATTCTTTACTCAGTGTGCCCCCCCCCCCAAGACAAAGGGTGAAATCTATAAGCTAGTGGCAGTGAACCTTTTGAGCTTTCAGTGATAGCAAACAGCCGTCTGTGGCACGTATGCCATAGGTTCACCACCACTGGTACAAGCTCTTAATTTGTGAAATAAAAAAAAAGTGCATGGAGTACAGTATGATAATGAAAAATGTGTAATTCATGCTTTTTCCTCAGTAGTTAAATTAGAACATTGATGAAATAAATAATTGGAAAGATCCTCTTGGTGGTGAAAAAATTGTAAACTTACAGTTATATTCAGTCCTAAATCTTACCAGCTGTTTACTTCATACATAATTTTTTACATCAAAGCATTCTGGGTATCTTCCTCACTTTTTACCTCATTGTGAATAGTTCCATAATGAGAGTATACTAAATTTTGATTATTGAAAAATAAAATTCTAGTTATCCAGTGCAGCATGCCTTGTACAATGCTAATTTAGTTGTGTTGGATCAAATACCAGCTTTTTTCTGAAAATACCAAAATACATACATAGCTTATTAGCCAAGCAAAACAAATTATTCTGTGTTGTATTGTGCAATTAAATACAGAGATACTCAGAATATTTCATTCTTATGAAAAAATACTTCATAAATTAAGTAAAGGACCTGCCTAGCATGACTTAATCTGATAATGTTAAAAGAGGTAAATCATTTTTTCCTAAGACAATCATTAATCTGCTGTGAGAAACATTTTATTTCTAAAAAAATACTAACATTGGAAGCTTCTCATCATTGTAGGGCTATAAAATTCTGTATCCAATCAAAGTGACTGTTTTTTTTCTAAACTAGAATGAATGTCAAATTATGACTCATTGAAATAGTACCATTTTGTTGAAAAAGAAAAAACATCCATTCATAGTAGATAGCTAAGTCAAATGAATTTATTCTTATTTCTTTCCATATTTTGTCAGGTGGATGACAATATTCCACTTAGAGTAATGTTGCTTCTCATGGATGAAGTATTTGATTTGAAAGAAAGAAATCAGTGGTTGCGAAGAAATATCAAAAACCTACTTCAGCAGCTTATTAGAGCAACATATGGTGATACTATTAATAGGTACCACTCTTTTTCTCCCTTAGAGTCTGAGCTTAACTTTACCTCTCGAAGTAGATTGCTTAACTCTCACAAAAAACATTTTCTCCTCTCTCTCTCTCTCTCTCTCTCTCTCTCTCTCTCTCTCTCTCTCTTCCTCGCTTTTTACCTCATTGATTGAATAGTTCCATAATGAGAGTATACTAAATATTAATTATTGAAAGATAAAATTCTAGTTATCTAGTACAACATGCCTTGTACAATGTTAATTTAGTTGTGTGTTGGATCAAATACCAGCTTTTTTCTGAAAATACCAAAATACATACATAGCTTATTAGCCAAGCAAAACAAATTATTCTGTATTGTATTGTGCAATTAAATACGGATTTATCTCTCTCTCTCTCTCTCTCTCTCTCTCTCTCTCTCTCTCTCTCTCTCTCTCTCTCTCTCTCTCTCTCTCTCTCTCTCTCTCTCTCTCTGGCCAGTTCAATCTGCCCTGGGGGTGGGGCTGGTGTGACATGTCATGCCAGGGATCGAACCACAGTGCCTAAGCAGGCGCTTTAGCCACCAAGCTATCTTGTTGGCCCTCCAAATTTTCTTCTCTTGAGGTTTTTTTTTTTTTTTTGCGGAACCGGGGATTGAACTCAGGCCCTTGCGCTTGCCAGGGAAGCGCTTATTCCACTGAGCCATATCCCTGGCTCCTTTGAGTTTTTTAAGATCACTGAAACAAGCTGTTCTCTCAGAGATAACTTATTCACAAATTATGCTGTTTGCTTCATGAAAGTCATTTTATTCACCCCTGAAAATTTAAACTTATTTGTTTAAATATCTTTGCTTTCAGAAAAATAGTTGACCATGTTGATTGGATGACTTCGCCTGAGCAAGTAGCCGACTCAGTGAAACGTTTCAGGTATATTTAGACAGTCACTTCTTTCAGGTGGTACAGAATTTAGCATTCTTATCACTAGCTTTCAGCACTTTTGGTTTTTTTCCTGGTTATAGAATTGTCATTGCGTGAGCCAAAATACTTGGAAGAATTACGATAAACACTTAATCCCAGATATCTTTTAATCTGTTTAAAAAAATAGAAAGTATATAAGATAAAAACATTTAACATAATATTTTACCACAAAATACTAAGGCTTTAAAAATAGTTGAAATATTAGTATAATATAATCAAATACCTATTTTGAGAAATTTGTCTTTTACATTTGTATTTACTAACCTTGATTTTTAAGTGAAAGACTTTAGAAAAACATGTATCTCTTTGTCCAAGATATAGTTTTTTTCTTTATTTTCTTTTTTGATATGTAGACATTATACTGAGACTTGACCCCTGGACCTTGTGCATGGTAGGCAAATTACCACAGAGCTATGTCTTTAGCCCATTTTTTTTTTCTCTTTTCCCATTTCTTTTCTCCATTTCCTCCCCTAATTAACTCTCACTAAATTTGCTCAGTGAGCCTCGAACTTGTAATCCTCCTGCCTCAGTCTCCCAAGTAAGCAGGTTTGCAGTCAGAATGAGTTTTCAGGCATGAGAAACCATGCCCAGCTCATTATTCAAATTTTTAATTAATATTTGAAACTTTGAAGCTACTACAAATTAAGCAGCACAGATGTACCATAAATATGTATTAAGCCCTACTCTGCCTAATGCCTGCCAGTCGCTGGGGAGTGGAGGTAAGGTGTAGTCCCATGAAGAAAGCAGATAGTAGGGGAATAAACTTTTTCAGAAGTGAAAATGTGCATAAAAATTGATGGCCTCCTTTAGAAGTGAGGAGAGGAAGCAACAAAGGAATTAGCAGTATTGAGTACTAACTGTGTACTTGGTACTGTCCCCAGTACTTTATGTATGGTTTCTGACTTTATCCTATTTTACAAGGTAGATGTTTTTGTCTCATTTTGTTATGAAAAAAAACTGAGGATTAGAGAACAGAAGTAGCTTGTCCAAAGACTCTTGTGAAAGTGAGAAACTGTACTTTTCCAGTGCTGCTCACCTTCTGCCTTGGACCACACGTTGGGGAACGGGCGTTAGTACACTGGAAGTCTAGGAGAGGGGATTGGTGTGTGTGTGAAAGCACTGCTGTGCCTGGACACAGTTCACAAACTTCTTTCATTCCATGGTTTTGAGCAAGACCAGACATTCGTGTTCATGCAGCAAAGATGGGCAGAGTTGTGCTCTTCACCTAGTGGAGTGTTCACAGACAAAAACAAAATTTTTCCAGACACCTCTGTTTGATAGAAACATTGTTTACAAACAGACATGTTTGTGAACAGATGTACTGTGCCATGAACGTGGTCCAGGCATAAATTGTGGGCGTGGCCTCAGCTTCAACTTGGCTTAGCTCTGAGGGGAATGCAGTAGCACAACTGCAGGAGAGCAGCTTTTTAAACTCTACGTAAAGATTCAAGTTGAAGATGTCCTGGATTGTGTTTGGATGAGATGGTTAGTCAGCAGGTGCTCAATTTTGAGTTTTAACTGATTGTGATATGTTTGTGTGTGCTTCGTTTTGCTATTTGTGTTTCATTTTTCTTTGTATTTATGAACTGCTGAGGGGTACAGAATTTGTTATTTTCTTCATGTCCATTAAGACCTGCAGCTGAACCCTGTACCAAGTTAATGTTTGTTAACTGTCATTAGACTTGTTAAAACTTGAGAAGTATTTTGTTTACATTTGTGTTTTCTATAGATATTTGAAGTAATTTTATCAACTTGTAGCATTAAAAGGTGAAATATTTACAAGATTTATTTATCTTCTTAAATAGAGATGCATTTTGGCCAAATGGCATTTCAGCAGAGACTGTTCCATGCAGAGACAAAGCTATGCGAATGAGAACAAGAATTGCAGGAAAAACAAAATTATTTGCAATTATGCCAGGTAAATGTACATATTTGATGTGACATTCATAAATTTGTGGTTCTTTTGGAATTGACCATGATAATTTGTCTAGTTTTTATTTCAAAAGCTGCATTTTTTTTGACTTCCTATATAAAAGGCACTATGAGAGGCACTTCTTTTGACTAATCTTCCTGATAGTCCCATGAAGCCACCAGCCACTATTAACCCAACAGCTTTACATGTAGGAAAACAGAGCTCAGCTAAGTCACCTACTGAGGGTGTACAGCTAGTAGAAGGTGTGATTGACTCATCTCTGAGCGATTGGAAAACTTGTACACTTCTTCTTGCCCTCAACCCAGGGCCTTCACACTGAACTACATCCAGTCCCTCTTCCCTTTCTTACTTAAGTTGCCCGAGCTGGGCTCACATTTGTGACCCTCCTGTCCCAGCCTGCTGGAGTTCTAGGACTAGAGGCAGGTGTCACTGTGCCAGCTTGAAAGCTTGTATTTTTAAGTCCTCTGTTATCTTGAAACATTTTGCAATAATTTATATATATATAATACATATATTATATATATATATAATATATAATAAAATATAAAGTACCAAATTTATTCAGGAACAAATACTAGGAGAACAGGCAGTTTTTCTGAGTCCATCTGTGTAGAAATAACTAATCAGTCCTTTTATGGTTTGTGTCTAGTTGTCCCCCCAAAGTCTCACGCAGTCATGGAGTGGACTTCTAGAGTTTGTGGTTAACTCCTGATCCACTGAGATTATGGGCATGAGTGCTGCTGGGATTATAGGTGTGAGTGCTACACCCAGCCTGAGGCAGATAGCCTGAATGCAATTTAAGGGAGACAGACGTGCTCTCTGTGGCCACTGTTGCCGTTGCTCCCTGCTGCTGCCATGAAAGGTTGCCCTCTGCCATGTGCCACTCTCCCTTGGAGCCAGCTGAGTATGAACTGAAACCTATACTGACTGTGAGCTAAATAAACCTTCCCTTCCTTCATTTTGGGTGTCAGGTATTTGTCCCAGAAATAAGAGAAGGGTAACTGAGACAAGTCCATTATTAATCTCTTAAAACATAGTACCAAAGAGAATATTCAATGAAGGGTTTTTTTGAGGGGTCTGATTTGAGTGACTTGATTGAGATACAGCTGACTCCCTTAATTTAGATGTGCTTTGTCACCTTTATCTTCTTTCAGTCAGAAAGGCTGTGAAGTATGAAAGTGGTCCGGAGATAGGAGAGGTGGTTTTGTCCCTTTTTATGAGTGTCTTAAAATGCCTAAATAATCTTTTCTTTGCTATTTTAATAATATATGTATGAAATAGCCAAGAAATATTTATAAGTTAGTACGTACTTCTTAAAATCTTTTCTTACAATTTCAAAGTATTTTCATTATAAAATTATCAGTTTTACATCAATTATTTAAAAATTTACCACATAGCCATTAATTCTTCTCTGTATACTGTTGTATTTGGTGGTATAAAGCACAAAAATAGCATTTTAGAAAAATAAATAATTTATTATATTATTTAATATACTGTTATAGTAAACCAGATTATACTGCAATTATGTAGCTGAGAAAATCTTAATTCACTTATTCAGTAAATATTTATTGAAAGTGCACTGTGTGCCAGTTGTTGTTGTTTGCTTTCCTGAATCTTACATTCTGCTAGGAGGACATGTATAAATAGTGTAGTGTGTTAGGTAGTACTCAGTACTGAGGAAGAAATAAAGCCTGGAAAGATAACAGGCAGGGTCAGGTGAATTGTTCTTAGGGCCTCAGGGCACACTTCTTTGAGAAAGTGCCATTAATATGAAGAGCTAAAGGGAATGAAGAGAGATATAAATTATAGGAGATACAAACCCTTGACTGCCTCTTTTTTTAGTAAAGTCACAGTGTAATCACTTTAAATTTTTTTGTAGCCCTAGGTAGATACAGCCCTAGGTAGAAGTTGTGTGTTTCTTCCTAAAGGAGCAAGTTATTGTTTAGTATCCTAACCGGCCCTGCCCCTGGGCACGCTGAGCCACCGAGTCCAGGCCTGGTGGCACACATCTGTAATCCCAGTGCTGAGGAGGCTGAAAACCAGAGGATCACTACCAGTCCGAGCTGCATAGTGAGACCCTTATTAAATACTTTTTTTTTTTTTTTTTGGTACCAGGGATCAAACTCAGGACCTTGCATTTGCAAGGCAAGCATTTACTCAACTGAGCTATCTCCCCAGCCCTAAATACATTTTTTTTTTAAATGTGCTGGTGTTGTTTATGGATAATTCCAAAATAGTCCCACATGTTGGTCCCATACTCCAGTATCTATAGTAACTTCCTGTCTGTGGGTAAACTTCAGACTAGCCTATCCTGATGGTTTTAGTGTCCTTTTCTATTCTTTTTTTTTTTTTTAACTTTCTCTTACAGAATTTCTGAAATTCAACAAAATTTCTACCCTCATTTCTTGAATATACTTTTTAAAATTTACTGCTCATTTATGTATTAGCAACATCAATCTTTTATTTCCTTCTCCTTATAAAAATGTTGCCCAAGTAGCACAATCTACTACATAGTTTTCCTTTCTATCAAGGGGATGTTTCCTTGTTGGCTCACAGTAAACATCTAACTATAAGCAGTGTCTTTACACTTTTAGTATTTTTATGGAACTGATATTTATGTTATGCATTAATTTTTTGCTTGTTTTGGTTTTTTTTGCTCAGTCATAGGCTAGTTATTATAACATTTTTTATTGTTCATTCAACGTAGAATGTTTGTAGAGTGTTTTAGAGTTTACAAAACAGATTACATTGTCTTATTGAAGTCTTAATTATTAGGATATTAGTTATTAGAAATCTATATGTAATAGTTGGGGAAACTAAGAGTGGATATTACATGGATATTAAGGGATGGGATTGTAACTAATTTGAAATCTCTTTAAGTCTGGATCATCACTCTTCTGTATGATACTG